TGGAGCCGGCGAGGGGCGCCGGGACCAGGCCCCGTCGCCCCTGCTTCCCGGCTGTTGGCTGCAGGGAGGATCCCAGTCCAAGGCCCTGCTGGAATTAGACGGAGTGGCTATTTCCTTAACATGAGTTGACATTAAACGGAATAACCGCCGGGGCGTCATTTTCCGGGCCGGGCCTGGGGATGGATAGGTTTGGGAAGTGTTGCGAGAGACCTTGGGGTTTGGGAGAGACTGCAACCTCTGCCATTCCGACCTCGATTAGGGCAGGGCAAGACGCGAGGAAGGCCACGGGGGAAACTCATTCCCCCAGTCTTTTTTTTCCTTCTTTTTCTTTTTATAAAGATGCATTTCAACCTTTCTGAGAATTTCCTAATTCTCTCTCTAACCTGCACTTGCTTGTGTGGGTGAAACTTTAATTTGTCACCTTTTCATTCCCCTTTGCCCCAGGCTCTCAATCCAGGAAGGGAAATGAAACTGAAGGACTTGTAAGGGGGTTGTTACTGGAGATTGTGGAGTTGTTGGATTGCAGAGGAGAATGTTCGATTCATTTTTTCAGTAACTTTAAAATCACACCAACCATTCCAACTACTTAATAATGTGTTCGAAGGGGTTCTATGTAATGATGTATGTTTCTTTTCCACTGTTAATTTTAAAGGGAGGTTTTCAATGGGTCTTGTAGGAGTTGGTCTCTTGCAAAGGATGGACATATTTGCTGAAAGTAGCCTGTGCATTAATTGGTTATGGAAGTTTAAAAATGGTGTCCTCCTGCCCCTCCCTGCTTGGAAGAAGGGCTAAAAGCAGATGTCCAGAATCAAGAGAAACCTACTGCAGGGAGTGGTCAGAAAAAGATTTTTTAAAGGGATTGTTATGGAGCTATATTAATTTCCTGAGTGAATGGGAGGTGGATGGTTTTACCGTGGGCTCTCTATTAAATTTAAAATAATTAATTCCTTTTCTCATGAGCTACTGTGAGCTCTTCAGAGAAAGGAGCTGTATTATAGTGTTTTTGCAGTTATTTGTAGTTTCTGATTCATCCTATATTTTTTTGAAATTATTGTCAATGGTTTGTATTTTTAGTTTAAGGACTATTTCCTGAGTGGGAAATAAATATCTGAAGATACTTAGCTAGATTCGAAGGCTGATAGAAGGAATTTTCTTTTTGCAGGCTAGTTCTTGTTTTGTTTTTTCCCCTGTGCTCAACTTTGTTACAGAGATTATATGAAGGGTTTGAGGGGTTTATTTTTGCTGTTAAAATCAAATCAGAACTAGGGAAGAATAAGTGACTGTCATAGAAGAGGACTTCTGAGCTGCTTTAGATGTTTTAAATGTATTACTGTTTGATGCAGCACATAGTAGTCTACCACTCGTATGCTGTATTTCCTTGAGATTTAACTGCATTTGATCATTCAGTGAAATAATTACTATGAGTTTTGTTCTACAAAAAATTGCCTCCTCACATTTTAGTATTTATGGTTTCACAGCCTACTTTTTTCTTTTTCAGTAGAAATGATGGAAGAATTGCATAGCCTGGACCCACGACGGCAGGAATTATTGGAGGCCAGGTTTACTGGAGTAGGTGTTAGTAAGGTGAGTAAAATGATGATAATGAACACTATTCATATTCTGATTTAAACACATTTTTTAAATGATTAAGAGCAACTTGGGTAGGCCCTTCTGATAGTTTGCAGGGGAGATGATTTGGGTCTTAATTTCAGTGAACTTTTAGGTCCTACTAATCATTCCAGTAGTCATTTAACATAGTAGGTTTGAAAATGTTCTATATGGGAATATATGTTTCTTCTTCCTTGCTGGTATAGGAGAGGTTTCTCATGGTTCTTGTTACAAGGAAACTAACAGGATGTGTGTATAGATTCTATGCCATATTTTGTTAAAACTTGTCAGTCATTCAGAAAATTATAAAGCATTGCATAGCTTTGTTACATTGGACTTTGGAGGTAGTTACATGGTAGAGTTTTGAAAAATTGGCCTCTGTGAAGTCTGCAGACTCTTTACTGGTTGCACCCTCAGGCTGGTTTGTTGCTCTTCTCATTCTTCCTTCTTAGTTTTTATTTTTGTTGCAGGAGCATAATATTAGATTAGGCCCCCATTAATGGGCACCTATGAAGTTAAGCAATGTTACAGTTTCCTATGCGTGCTTTTGTACCCACTGGTCCACCCCTCTGCTCTCATAGGATGATTTTACAATGTGTAAAATGTTTGATTTTAATACAGTATGCAAAGTATATTTACAATATTTTATTTAAAAGCTTCATTGGTCCAAGATCACATTCCTTGGGCTTGAGGTGTGTGAATGTATGAGCTATTGAGTTTTTTTTTTTTTGAGACATAATTTTGCTCTTGTCGCCCAGGCTGGAGTGGAATGACGTGATCTCAGCTCACTGCAGCCTCCGCCTCCTGGGTTCAGGGGATTCTCGTGCCCCAGCCTCCTGAATAGCTGGGATTACAGGCGCCCGCCACTATGCCCAGCTGATTTTTGTATTTTTAGTAGAGACTGGGTTTCACCATCTTGGCCAGGCCGGTCTTGAACTCCTCCCCTCAGGTGATCCACCCACCTCGGCCTCCCAAAGTACTGGGATCACAGGCGGGAGCCCCTGTGCCTGACTGAGCTTTTGATCTTTAACCAATGTGATACAACATTTCTTTCTGTGCTTTTCAAGAAATCCTGTCTCATGGTAACCTGGGTGTTGATCTCGTGCTCAGTTAATAGCTTCTCCAAGGAGAAGGCGTGTTGAGGTTTAGTTGGAAAAATGGGCTTCTTTGATGGGTCTCACATTTTGGTGAGCTGGGATAGCTTGATAGGGTTTCGTTGTTTTTTTTTGTTTTTTTTTTTTTTTTGAGACAGAGCCTTGCTCTGTTGCCCAGGCTAGAGTGCAGTGGCACGATCTCGGCTCACTGCAACCTCTGCCTCCCGGATTCAAGTGATTCCCCTGCCTCAGCATCCTGAGTCGCCGGGATTACAGGCATGCACCACCACACCTGGCTAATTTTTTTTTTATTTTTAGTAGAGACGGGGTTTCTCCGTGTTGGCCAGGCTGGGTCTCGAACTCCTGACCTCAAGTGATCTGCCCGCCTTGGCCTTCCAAAGTGCTAGGATTACAGGCATGAGCCACCGCACCCAGCCAGCTTGATAGTTTTTGTTTATTCAACAAATATTGAGCACTTGCTGTATGCTAGGCATTGTGCAAGATGTTAGGGCTGATGCTTGAGCACAGTACCTCCACATCTGCAGTTTGGGGAGAGCGAGATGATACCGTGATGAGATCTGTATTACAGCTGTAACGAGGTGCTGTGGGAACACAGGATTTGTTACATATTCTTAATTTCTTTGGCCACTTAGACAGTTTTACTTTTGTGGCACTTTAGAGTGGCTGTACTCCTGGACATTGTATATTGAAGTTGCATGTACAAATGTAAACTCTCTGATCTAGGTAAAGTAGCTTCAAGTAGAAGTGAGCAATGTATTTGAATACTAAATTGATCTCTAAATGACCTCTGATTTGTCTTTTCACTTGAAGATTGAGCATAAGGCTAATATCCAGATCTGTCTGTTTAAATGGTCCCCCGACACCCCCCCTCCCCCATCCTGTAAGTCAGTAAGTTTGTATTCAAATTGTACATAGTTTAAGCTCACTGATCTTTGTCATTAGGGTTGTTGTTCTGTTTTTAGGTTCTTGATGGCTGTATCCAAGTATACTTTTGATGGAGTAGGGCATAAGTGGTAAGAATGAGTGACATTCAACATGTTGCTGTCTAGCCCCAGCTTAAAATCATGTAACTAAGGTATCAGAAAACTTTAATACAGTAGCCTATCTGTTTAATAGAAAATTCTGCCTTCAACATAGAAAGAAGTTCTCTGTACAGAAAAAGAAATTTACCTATTTCCAGTTTTTTTGTTTGTTTTTGAGAGGGTCTCACTCTCTAGCCCAGGCTGGTGTGCAGTGGCAGGATCTCAGCTCACCTCAACCTCCACCTCCCAGTCTTAAGTGATTCTCCTGCCTCAGCCTCCCAGATAGCTGGGATTACAGGCCTGTGGCACTAGCACACTGTTAACTTTTGTATTTTTAGTAGAGATGGGATTTTACCATGTTGGCCAGGCTGGTCTTGAACTCCTGACCTCAAATGATTCACCTGCCTTGGCCTCCCAAAGTGTTGGGATTACAGGCATGAGCCACTCACTGCACCCAGCTTTATTTCCAGTTGTTTTTATTCCATTAGTTGTTTGTTTGTTTGTTTGTTTGAGACAGTCTCGCTCTGTCGCCTAGGCTGGAGTGCAGTGGCACAATCTTGGCCTCCTGCAATCTCTGCCTCCAGGGTTCAAGCGATTCTCCTGCCTCAGCCTCCTGAGTAGCTGGGACTGCAGGCACCCGCCACCACGCCCAGCTAATTTTTGTATTTTTAGTAGATGGAGGTTCCACCGTATTGTCCAGGCTGGTCTCGAACTCCCAACCTTATGATCTGCCTTTCTCGGCCTCCCAAAGTGCTGGGATTACAGGCGTGAGCCACCATGCCCGGCTTCAGTAGTTGTATGTTATTTTGATATTTCCAGTCATGGTTAGTATTGCTGATTACAATGAATTTGTTACTTGAGGACTAGCAGGAGAGTATTTTTTTTTTTCCATAACAAAGAAACTTGAAGAAAAAAATTCTGTAGTTTGCAGAGCTGGGAAAATAAAATCTCCATTTTGTATGACTTCTTTTTTTTTTTTTTTTTTTTTT